CCCCCTCCGTATATGCAAGATGAGATTGTTGAAATAAAAGATACTGGTTCTGCCTCTTTTGTCAGTGTCATTGCGGATATTTGTTGGCTGGAAGATGACAGTTTGGGGCGTGCTTCACTCGAATTTGTCTCCATTGCATGCGATCTTGCGTTCGCAATGCCGACTATGTTCAGTTGATTGTAATTTTTTGGTAGCAGAGGGAGATTGTGTGATGAGATTGGGCAAAATGCATCGTTCTTTGCAGCTGATTCATGTGTAGCTTTGGGATGTGTAGGTGGGCATGTAGAGTGTAGATTTGCGATGATGTCTGGGGTGTTGTTTCTTGAAGTTGAATGTTGTCGATGCTCGTGAACAATGTGGTCTAGTGAGAGGGAATGAGCAGAGTGAGTATAAGCGAATGCAGGAGACACTGTGTAATATGGATGGTTACGAAAATATGGGTAGGTCGTCTTCCGGCTAAACAGTGTTTTGATGCATGGCGCAATTCGACTGCCTTTCGATAAATCTAAGCAGGCCTATTTAGAGATGATACGGCTTAACTCATCGCGGGTAGGAGGAACGTTCAAGGATATATTCCTAAACGAGAACCGGTCAATCACGGCTTCTGTAAGTTTTCTGTGGCACGTAGACGCACAGATGATATCGAAGCAATGTGCGCAAGGACCACCCCAGTCCCCATCCGCAGGTTGTTCCGACCGCATGGTAGTCTTCGCTTTCCGTCAATAAACCAATTTTCTCCATATTTCTGTCGTATGCTCCGCCGGGGAGGGGCGTTTCCACATTAAATAAGATATCTGATCCACTCCACGCTGTGACAGATTCTTACTTATTCCGCGTGTCCGGTCGGGTGGCCTAATAGGTTTAGGTTTTGGTTCGTTCGCCACTCCTAGTAGGGCAAATGAATCAGGTATTTTACAGTCATCGAGCAAGAGTAACATTATGATTTGTGCGTGGAGGGCATCCTGTGGCTTGACCGTTCCATCAGTCAATGATAACTTTTGCACGTCTGGGTGTGTTTGCCGAACTTCTTGATTGTGAAAGACGCCAATTTTATTGCAAGTACTGAGAGGCTATGCAACTGCATTCTACAAATACTGTACGAAATGTGAAGACATTAGCCTTATATGATACTGGGTCTGGGGGTGGATTCGAGTGTGTATCGGAGATAAATAAAACCGCTGTTCATACGGGCGGACTTTCTTATACTCCTTTCTGGAATTCATCTTTCGACGAATCTCTTGTCGATTTTTAACTAACGATCGTGTTTATCACAATCACGTGTATGGAATGCGGGTTTTTATATGCTAATTCTAACACAAATGAACTATTAGGGAAGCACGTCGCGCAAGTCCATGCAAGGTGACTTAAATACCGCATGCCTTAGAAGTACGGTTGAAGTCAACGAGCGACTGACGAAATCAGGGAAGGCTGTGTAGGAGGTTGGATTATGACTGTTTTGTTTCCCAAACTCTTGAGTCCAAATCGACACGATATTTGAGAAATTAGTGGGCGTTTTTTAGATAAAAGTGGTCTTTCATTTGTTATGAATAGTCTCATTTCCCTAATATATTACCATATGAAGTCACTTCCCATCCCTATTATTCGGTCCCCTAAACATCTCCCGTCCATTTATACGCAGCAATATGAGTGCAATCCCAACCTGTTCCCATTTCGACTGTACATTCATATCAGGCGTTGATTTCGCCCGGCCCCAAGCAGTCTGTCATCCTGAGACCGTAGCTCCTTCATGTTCCCGTTGCCAGTGAATTATCTGCACACTGTGTTTCAGGATATCTAGATAACGCGTGGATCTTCTCGTAAAATATATCCTACCATATTCTGTCACAAATCTCATGAAATACCAAGCGAAATTCCGAGATTCGTCTTAGATGAGATAGAATTCAGCAAGAGCAGTTGCAATATTCCTTATCATGCAGAAAAATCCTAAAACATTTCAGTCACGCCAGGATGGCAACTTTTGTAAGCATTTACATTGAGCTGCTGGCAAAATACCGCACTCAAATTACAATCATTTCTAAGTTAGTATAACATTCTTCAGTTTGTTTTTGATGTCTTTATAAATTTTAACATGATTTATAGATTTTTAGTCCCGTAGTATTTCGGACTTGGCAGGATGTCTGCTTTTGAATGCACTTCTTGTAAATCTTCTGTAGGATCCGTACTCCGTAAAAATGACTACTCATTCAGCATGCATTTTTCCCATTGATTTTCGATGGTCTTGCATAAGCAAATGAATCTCGTAGAAACCACGTACAGAAATATGATTTCTTCCAGTCGTTTGATAGAGGATTAGTCCTCTGTAATGATTTACCTCACTAACAACACAGGTATTAGCAAATTACGTCTTCTTTATTTTTTAAATAAAGAATGAATGCAGTTATGGTTCATAAAGGTTTCTAATTATGAGATTTGTTAAGACCGTCCTATGCCCATTCACACGGCATCGTACCACTGCTCCTCATGAAATTTACAACATGGACCGCGTCCATTGCGAAATTTTATGGACTCCATATGGTGTCTTTGTAAAGGCATAGAAAAATATGAGATTCTCTTTACGCAGAACGCATGCGCCTTGTAGACTGAAATCACTTAGTGCTGATTTAACTACTGATCTGGCTCCAAATTAATCAGGAATTAGAAAACATTTGCAATACCTTATCATACTCCCTCGAGCACAAAATATGTAGAAGACGTGATTTTCTATCAAATAAGTGAAAGAAAATGTATTTTTGCCCGTGTTTTTATACAATATATTTGAGTTTGCAAAACCATTGAAAATCGATGTAAAAATGCATGCCATATTAGTATTCGTAATTTGTCAAGTACGGTTCTTTAGATGAGATTGAATAGCAGTGCATTCATAAGCAGATATCCTGCAGATTTTGAAATAGAATAGAATAGCTCTGCAAGAAAATCAGTATTGCAACCGCACCCAACTAATCCTTCCTAATGGAAATCGCATTTCAGAATTTCAGCCAACATTTCATGAGATCGATCACTCATTACATGTTCCGGCTTACACCGCACTCTTATTCTCGCAAAATTCATTCAATCATATTCAGAGACAAATGCCAAGGAAAAACCAAACGAAATTCCGAGATACGTTTTAGATGAGACAGGAGCAAACAAGTGCGGTTTTAATATTCCTAATAGGACAGCCAAATCCCAAAACATTTCTGTCACGCCAGTGTGGCGGTTTTTGTTTGCAATTATGCACGGCTGCTTGCAAAATATCGCACTGGACGAGCCATTCCTACTTATTTTGTAAGAATCTCCTCAGTTTTTCTTTGACGTGTTTATGAATTTTAACATTTTTTTGGAAAAAATTCCTTTATGCCCACTTTTTGATACTCATTTTGTAGCAATTCATCTTTCTTCCAAGTGAAATACCCGAAACGGTCAGCTTATTTTCCGTTATCTATTTTCTTGTAATTTGAGGCTCGAACATGTAAAAAAGGCAAATGCGGAGTTAGTTGAATAGAGATTGTATGAACTTAAAAATCTCTTAAGAGCAAACCGTGGTAACAATCGGTAGATGGCACCCAAATAAGTCCGTTACCTAGAAATAATATTTTTAACAGTGGCCTCAACCGCCTTCAGGCGATATTAGTGGTTACAGTCCTACTATCATGCATAACTTGGACTTTCCGCAACGGCCTAACATGGGCTGACCAAACGAACATCGGAGGAGGTTACATGGACGATTGTCGCTTTTACCCAACCTTCCCCATCGTTACACACGTACACCTGAATATACGGCATACATTCGCATTACGGCAGTTTATTACAAAACAAAATCACTTTTAAATAGGATAAGCCTGCACAAAATGGGACAGAAACATTTTCCAGGCATCTGTTAATGATATGGAATTGAGGCCAAACCAACGACGACACTGTACTTCGTCTATGTGAGCCCACACAGCTTGACCACATGTAGCGCCTCCTTCATGGAGTTCCCTTTTCAGTCTACTCCACTATGCCTCAATTGCATTGGTGTGCCGTGCAGTGGCAGGGCCCTTGAAGTTCTTTGAGTGGTTAACAGAGAAATGTAGATAACCTTCTAAGGGAAAACCATTATTCGCCTTTCACTCGTCCGTTACCACTATACTGCCTTTGGCGACCCATTTTGTATTAACGGAATGGAGAGCGGGCCAACGTCGATCATTCACCAGTTCAAATAAGGCTATCTGTCGACTATTATCGTACATCCCGACCAGCAACCACATATAAAACCCCTATTACCACCTAACCCGTAAGACAGGCTGCTTTGTTTAGGCATGTTTTTGGGTGCCATCTCCCGATTGTTACCACGAATGAAAATGAAAACGCATATTAATAAAGAAGTCCTTTTTACCGATTAATTTATCGCAAGAAGTCCAAAAAGGCGAAATTAAGCGCAGGGCATCCTGGTGGGGCTAAAGTGCATTTGGATTACGCTGCACGATAAGCAATTTTACAAACGCACTTAATTAATCTATCATGGTGGAAAAGACATTTCAGTATTCCAGCCCGCATTTCACGAGATTAGTCACCGAGAGCATACTGATGCACATAGAATTTGGTTTGAGAGGCTTGGAGGTTGGAATGAGGTTTGGCTGAAAGCCAAAATGTAAACACAAAGGAAACGACTTCCGATGTTCGCCACGTCAAACATTTAACCAGTCACATCCTAGATGTCGCAAGTACGTGCTCGCAGGTGTTAGTTATTGAATCGTTAATTAAGTGGGTTAAGTCGCGGTTTTATGATCAGAATGCATAGAGGTAACAGGAATACAAGTGGATGCATATCCAGAATTTGTACCTGGGTAAATGTCAGTCTAGACCATGTCACGTTCCCTCTGACCTGAGTTATTTCACCCGACCACCGTGCATGGCGTCGTGCCTGACAGATGGAAAGCCGCTTTCGGCTACCCAACAGCAACCCCGGACATCAGGCTTCATGCCGAGTTGGATGTAGGTATTCGGAAGAACAGATGAGAGTGAAGGGAAGTTTGAAAGAACAGTCTATCGTATACTGCTAATAATTACAACAGGCGCAACCGCACCAAAGTAATCCATCCTAATCGAAAAAGAATTTCCGAAATTCAGCGCACATTTCATGAGATCGGCCACTTACTGTATGTTTTGGCTTACACCGCACTCTTACTCCCGTGAATTTCGTCTAACCATATTCAGTGACAAATTTCATGAAATACCAAGCGAAATTCCGAGGTTCGTTTCAGATGAGAAAGCATTACACAAGTGTGGTTGTAATATTGCCTATCGTGCAGCACAATCACAAAAATTTCTGTCATGCCAGGATGGCGGCATTTGTATACACATACACTCGGCTACTTACACAATATCGTACTCAACGTACAATTTCTGGATAGTTAGTCCGAGCCTCCTCAGTTTATTTTTGATGTCTTCATGAATTTTGACATGTTTTATGGAAGAAAATACCCCAATGTACACATTATCGTGCTCTATTTCGTACTTCTAAGTTAAATACCTGAAGAATTAGACGCGTTCCGCCTATGTTCCGTTTACTTATTTCCTAATACATTTTGGCCCGTACAAGTAAAAGGGCAGATGCGAAGCTATTTGAATAGACATTTCATGAACTTAAAAATTTCTTAATAAAAATCTGTTTTGGAACCGGAGGACACAATTTCGTTGAGTAAAGGAGAAAGCTCGCATTGTGCATCTTTGCACAGAATATCTTTAAACGTATAAGTGGGTCGAGAATGAATGGGAAGGTGCATATTAATAAAAAAAAGTCCTTCTACCGATAACCCTTTCGTAAGAAGTCCTAAAAAGCGAAATTAAGCGCAGGGCACCACGGTGTGGCTGAAATGCCTTTGAATTACGCTACACAATATGCAATTTTACAACCCCACTTAACTTATCCATAATAGTGATAAATACATTTCAGAATTCCAGTCAGCATTTCACGAGATTAGCCGCTATCAGCTTACTGATGGACATAGAATTCGCTTCGAGAGGCTTGGAATTTAGCTGCTAGAATGAGGTTCGGATGAAAGCCAAAATGCCAACACACACGCCAAGACAACCTCCGATATTCGCCTCGACAAACATTAAACCAGTCACATTCTACATATCGCTCTTAGACAAGGACATGCCTGGAATTATTAGTTAGTTTATCGCGAGTTTCGGCAAACACTGTACACCGTGGTGATTTATGCAGTATACAAGAACCTATGCACTGATATAGGGAAATTGGTCAGCAGTAGTGGAGGAGTGGGAGTCTGTTTCAGCATTTTCGACTTTCATGCCTAACTCGGTGGACTGCTCATGTGGACGCAGTTTATCCAACATATTCTGCCCATAAAACGGTCCCTAAATCGTGGGCATATTTGAAACTACCAGCCCACGGGCAGTTGGACAGCTTAGCCTTCAAAATCGTCCTTGGCCGTGCGCTGTGCACACAGGCGCCGCGATTGATCGACCGCTGTGGCCTATCGATCGGCTGACTGTTCATTCAAATATGAATGCTACCTCGTTCACAACTGCGATTACCAACATGGTGAATGCCTGCGCAAGCAAACTTTTGTCTGGCTGTCAAAAGTTGCTTAGTCGAATACGGCATTTTCCCCGCACTCTGCGGAATGCTAGACGAAAGCAGGTCAGTGATGGAATAGCTGGGTCAGGAAGCTGGACGAGAAGTTGCAAGCACATTTACGCCGACGAAAGTGCATGCTGTAAGTCCTCCGATCTCTGTCTTATCGAGCTGACTAACATGAAGGTGCAAGATAGACGTAGATTTACGTCAGTTATTATTTCAAATATTTGGTTGTATTGTAATTTGAGTTAAATTTGAAATGAGGAATTTGCGAGGGTATTGAGGGAACGTGTTTGTTAGTCTTCAAAATCGTCATTCCTCCTCCTCCTCCTCCTCCTCCTCCTCCTCCTCCTCCGCAATTCATTTCAGGCAGATTAGTGAGGGTAACGAAGATAGAGGAAGTGGAAACATGGGAAGCATTCATGCCCAGGTTTCAGAGTACTCCGCGCCGGCAGTCCCTAGTGCCCATCAGGTGCACAGTCGCGGACATCGAAATGTCGCAGCGCAGTACAGAGCTGAACTGTTCTGATGCAGAAGAGCTGGATGAAGGGAAGGGATTCATGGGAGTTGGAGGGACTCCAGCGGATATGGTAGGCAGCTCTGTGGGTTCTGAGGTGAGTTGGCGCCTCTCATGATCTGAAGCTGAAATTCCATGTTAAATTACGACTACGGTCCTTACATTACGATTTCATTAACGCTTACACATTTCATTCAAGGCGAATTGGTCGGTGTGCCAAAGATCGAGGAAATGGAGCCCTGACCGGCCTTCTGCTCCAGGTATCAGGGAGTCCCAGGCACCTGCGGTCAGATGGGTCGTGGGGGATCACGAGATATCGCGGAGGAGTAGTCAGGGTACAGTCTACGATCCAGAGACACCGACAGACGGCAACGTTCAGACTGCAGTTGCGGAAATAGTCACTTGCTCTGTGGCGAATCAGGTGAGTCAATTAATTGGTGTGTATCCTGAATTTTAATCGATAATCTGAAGTGAAAATTCGATTGGAAGGAATAACTTGGGTGGAATTCTAGTAGTGAACTTCGTGCTGCAGTATAATCTTAGGTATATTTCGATTGCGCCAGGATGCAGACCTTTGAATGTCATTTCTTTTGGTCGTCCAAAACTCCATACTACATCTGAAATGACGGTTTATGGATTCTGACAAATTTCGTAGATTTTTGATGACTATCTTATTTAAGACATGTTTTGGAAAGCATGCTCAAGAATACTGTCTTTTGTACTCTGTTCAATAGTAAATTACATATTCTACGGATTTGTACTCCTAGCCAGATAGGCATCCGGTTATACAAAATATTCTTTTATTCCCGAATAATTTTGAATCTGACTTGAGCTTTCACATGCGTCGAGGGTTTACGAACTTTAAGTTGTTTTCTTTATGAGCGAGGAAATTCGTGCATTCCGCTGTGCTAATGAAGAAATTCCGCATCGGACATATTTGCATACACTTAAAGAGCTTTTATAAACGGACATATCCGATGCCGTTCGAATAGACACTTCAGGAAGCCACGCTTTCCTAGAATGCGAGGTAGGCTCTTAAGTGGATTAGTGTTGTGTGTGTGCAGATGGGCAAGTGAAGGTGTTTCGTTGGGATCCGAATTCCATGGCTTCATTTAATATCCTCATGTAATCCGTTGTGGCTGCAAAGAGCCGTGAATTGTTTGCAGGTGAGACAGGAGTAAGGGGGGTATGTCGAAGCTGCTGGCACTGTTTCGATGCATCGCAATTGCATGTGCGGTGTGTCTGACATGAAAAGTGGGGATGCTGGCTATTTCCGCGATCACTTCCAGCCTGTCTTGCATTCAGTATTTCTCGAAAACAGCTCAGGAGAATGTGCTTGAGATATCACGCTTAGCCTCCCAGATCAATACATGCCTCTGCCCCTACGAGAGCATTGCTAGGATGACGGCCTTCTGTATTCTCAGTTTTCTGTTCAGAAGTATTCCACAGTGATTGTGGATAATGTACTGCAACCGGTCGATTGTCTGGATGGCCGACCATGGAGCTCCGCCCTATAACCTACTCGTTCATTTTGAATTGTCTTAAAAGCCTGCTGTCTAGCTACATGACGTTCGCTGTTGTGAGTAAGATTAATTTACATTCATAGGAAGCTCAGTGAAGTGAGCATTTTATGCGACCGAGTGCTTCGATTACGATAATTGTGATTGTGCCTTGATGCTCCCTCTGGATTGGTGTTCACCTGTGGGGCTGTCTATGTTCCGGACTGGTTTTCATGTTCACTTCAGCTCTGTCTTATTTGTGGAAAGATGGTGAAACGCCTTTGGACTCCCTTTCGAAAAAGAAGAAGAAGAAGAAGAAGGCAAAAATACACGAGGGACGTTGAAAACGATATTCCTTGACTAACTGTCTACCACAGCCACGTATGCAGCTACTTACACGCACAAATGTGTAAATAACAAAACGCCTGCTTAATTAATACAAGTAGTCTGATCATGCGTGAGTGGAGTGCCTTGATGCTGAGAGTGTGGGTGTGGATTTGGCTGTTAAGTGAGGAGCATGATGCATGTTGGATTTGGCCTTTAATGAATCCGCACTTGAGGAGAGGATAACATCTGCGGACTGGACGTTCCACGCTGCAATCACTCCGTAACCGAACAAAAATTAAGTCAACGTTCAATTAAATCTATTGATGAATTAATTAATTTACCCAGTACTGAGCTTCCTGGTAGTCGACGACGCGGTCGCATTTGAAGTCTCATCTTTGAGACGACAAGACGGTCATCCGTCCGGCAGTCTGCGTCACATATTGCTTCGGTCAATAGGATATCACGTGGGTTACGCCTCCGAACGACGGCGTAGTCCAGGGGACACTGCTGACGCGTTCGAGGGTGTATCCACGGGGTCGGTTCATGAGTTGGAAGACGGATGAATTTGTTAGTGAGGAAAAGACCGTGTTTGGCACATGCGTGCTGGACGGAGTGCCATTGCAGGTGCGGCTGGCGATGCCGTGGCAACCGAGCACTGCCTCCCGCGTAGCGTGGTATTTGTCGACAGGGGTACTGGAGTCACGGAGCACGACCATTATTTCCGCTCTTAGCACAGTCTCTAGGGAGGTGGGCGGGGGGCGTGCGGCTCTACGTAACACCTGCTTCCAAACCATCGGAAATGGTCATCGGGGATAAAGGTTGTAGGTGCTGACGACGGTAACAAAGATTTTACGGTGGAATGTCGGATTCACTGTCATGAGGCAGTCAATGATGTCCCGCGGTAGGCAAGACAGTAGTTTTAGCATGCCTTTCCTGATACCAAACCGACTACAGCCTCTCATCATCCCCTCATCGGAAGTCCGCTTATGAACACCACATTCTCTAATTGTTTTTGCTAAGATAAGCATATTCTTCTGAGGACCGTGATGTCTGATTTGTAACGCAGCATTTCCCATACCATCAGAACTCTCCTCTATTCTGTTAATAAACATCTGCAAGCAAAGAGATCTTGCCGAATGCAGTGGAAATGTGCCCAATCTGCGTTCATTCAATTTCAGACCGAGGAAGCATACAATGGCGTCGCGATTTCTGATGAAGCACCAGGAACCACGAGCATCACTCCAATTTGCGCCATCCCGCAGGGTGCCGTATTTGGAGCACCAATTCAGACACAGGAGCAAAGTATGCAACTGCCTGTAAGTTGACTCAACACGCACGTTATCTGCATGTAACTGCCTCTAATTTTCTCCCTGTGGACATTGAGACAAAGTGATGTTTCAGTAAGCTCGGAGCAGAAAGTAGTCCACACGCAGAATGGTGCTGACTGCAAGACTGACCATATCAATGTCCATTGTATTTCAGGACGTGCCCCATGTGCTGGCGGTGTTTATTCAGAAGCTCGAAGAGCGAGGGCTTGATTCTCCTGAACTGTACACACATATGCCCCATTCCCTGTCTCTCTACGCAAAGATCCATTTGATCAACTCAGTGAGTTTCCTAACGACACTTAACACTCTCTTATTCAAATCCTGTTTCTTTGTGTGTTATCGGGATCCTACCGACGAGATCTGTACAGTTATTGCATTAACATGCATTAACCACATTTCAGTACCCAGTTGACGATCTGGCACGAATCCACCCAGAAATCTTCGCAGACACTCACGACCTAGCAGCAATGATTACCCTCTACGTTGAATGTCTGCCGACGAGACTGGTGGAGGGCATGGGTGAGTCATTCATCTGACATGAGTTTACTTTTCACGCTAGACGCTTTCTAACGAGAAGTCAGCAGTCAATAGTGAGCAGTTTTCTTGTTTTTCTCACAATTGGCAATGCCTTCTCCCATCACTCGGTGCTTTTCGGCTCATCCGTAATCGAAAACAAAAACTTATGATCATACTGTTGTAGCGGAAGATGGGGATTTTTACATGATTCCTAATGCTACTGTAGTTCAATTGAATGAGGATCGTGCATACAGCCTGTTCCGAAATGACGTGATGGGTGTTGTCGTTTTCAGAGGTGTGGAGATCAGCGCTGGCAACACTGCCACGGCATGGTGAAGCGGACTTGTGCATGCCTGAGACGTCTGTGGACCTCGTCCTGCAGTCCAGTGAGGAGGTGACATGTCTGGTGAGTTGCGATCTAGCATGTGCATAGCTGGCTGTCTGTGCGTTGTTCAGCTTCAAGTGCCTAACGTCCATCCTCCAATGTCCACAGCGATTCACGTCTTTCCAACTGACTGGAGGTGTGCTTTCAGTGCATGGTGAAGTTGGTGCCTACTTGGCCACACTCGACCACCTGTTCACACACTGGCACAAGGTGTGGCAGTTGGTCCGCCAGCGCTCGCAAGAAGAGGTAGTCCGCCTTTTCATCCTCATATGCCGAACTGTGTCCGGCCAGACCGATGATGAATCTGTTCAGGTAGGATCTTGCTGCGGCAGCTGCACGTTTCTCCGTAAGGCAGGACTTGCCATCAATCTGACCGGCATTTATAGGCATTTGTCTTCCGTGCTTACAGGTGGTGTATGACTTGGTCAGCAAGTGGCCGGAAATCAGGCGGGACATCATTGCAGAACTAGGAAACCTGTAACCGGACACAAGTTGATGCACGAAGTAAGTCCGTTACATTTCATTCTGGCAGGCAGTTGAATGTCGGAATCATTATGCTACGGTATATGCCCCTGTGGAATTTGTGTTCAAGTGTACATAGGTTTATGCACAAATGCTCACCAACTATGGTCTCGACTATGTTGAGGCAGCCCGCATCGACCGAGGAACGAAGGCCTAACCCGGTGGCTTTAGGTTGGGCACGCGTTCTGCATGCCAGACAGGCTAATTGATAATTTGAATTCCTCCTTCAACATATTCGCGGAAAATCTGGATGCATAGGCTGTTGTTGCATGGGAAGCCTTGCGCGCGCGCGCAGGAAATTCTGTGTTCTTAAATAACCACAGGTTGTCAAAATTGTCTGTGGCATTAGCTTTAGCAATCCCTGCATGAGTATTAACAGTGAATGAGTTTGTGGGGAAACGAAGACAACATTCTTGTGGGGTGAGGCACCCCTGATGGTGTTGCCCATTGGTGCACGTCGGTGGCACTCGGCTTACTCAGTGAGCGATCGGTACCCCACGCATTCGGGACATTGTTATTATCTGGCCTCCTCTCTGCACTCGTTTAAGCTGGGCAATCTCCACAGCCCAACAAACCTGTGCAGTTGATGCGTCACGATCTCCTTTACAATCACAGCAGGAATTGGAAACGGTCAGTTGTCGCCTCAGATTTAGGCTTCGTATTCTCAAACACGAATTAAGGATGATAGAACTACGACTGCATGGTGGTTATTCGAAGTAGTAAAGCGGCATATAGGATGTTTGTCAGCTCAGCTGTTGTTACTGGAGGTAGGGAGAGAAAGAGAGTTTGCAATCATATGCAATGCACGACGGACTTTTTTGCGAAAGCCTAAGCCAACTGCACCCTGAAGTGCTTCTTCTGCGTTAACAGACTTAACAAGCATGCCATTGATAATCTAATGTCTCCCCATTTTTACTTCGCCAGCTCGTTGATCGGCCTCAAGTGATTTCCTGGCAAGTTCCCTCTTACGAATTCGCAACACGTATTGGGCGGTGCTCGAGCTCTGTCCCCCATCCACGTGACAAGCCCAATGATTATCTTTGAGATGGCGAGCAGGATCGGGTCTCAAACGCTCTGTGGAACTGGCAACAGGCTTGCCTGCAACATGATCGGACAATTGGACTCCCAAGCCGAAGCGATTTAATGCTTGTTTCTGATGTTCAAATTGTTTCGTGCGAACCTCCTAGAATCCTATTGTTGCGTTTTGTTTCAATGTTGAAAATGAGATTGTTTAAATAAAAGTTACTCGTTCTACTACTTCCGTCAATTCCATTGAGAGTGTCTTAGCTTGAAGATGATGTCGCATTCGACTTGGCCCCTCTACATGTACCAGAGGACATGTTTCCCGCCTTCTTGAGATGTAATCGCTCTGGCGTGTTTCGCGCACTGTGTCGGCCATAGCAGTGGATGAGAGGCCTGCGGCAGGGAAGTAGTATGATTTGACTGGATGGTAACATCTATGCAGGTGGTTTGGTCTCTGCTCAATTAAGCTGCCTTTGTTGGTCCCTCAGACAGAATAAAGAAGCTGGTTCGACACCCAAATACTGCTGACATTGCTCTATATTTCAGAAGTTTTTAATTCCCCCTCGGTTTCTTCCACTAACTCAAAGCCTAATAGTAACAACAGTCATAACCATAAAACAACTCTTAGCCGTAACACCTATTTCTCTGGAATTTAGTCCAAATCTCCCTGTATTACGGGGGTTCCCTATTTCCGCGTCCTGCCAGGGGGAAGCGGGGGTGGACACATAGGCTATCCTTAAGTTTGAGGCAACTATGGCCGAATAGATCCATGAGATGTCTGAATTTCGGGGGACCGAACGATCAAGTGATATGAAAATGGGAGTGTATACTGGACCTCCTGACATTAATTTGTCGGTGACAGTGTGATTGATTCGCAAGAGGAAGATCAAAGCAATGCTTGATTGCGATATTCTGCAGGTTACCAGACGTATCCACGCTGACGAGGTTAATGGCGGCGGTATAATCGTGTGCTATAAAATCGGAGAGGGCTTGGCGGTACTGACGTTGTGCTGGGTCAGGGGATGACTGACAAGATCCAAAATGTTCATTGTGAACGAAAACATGGTTTCAAGTCCTAATTTATCGTGTCATTGGTCGCAGAAACTGAGTCTTTTGAACCAGTCGTTTTGCGTGGGCAGCGGCTAGTCCATTGACCCCCAGAATGTCTACTCCAGCATTAGCGACGGTGTACCACGCCTGTCAACAGTAAGCGAAGCCCTCCAGGAGTCTGAGGCAAATCTTCAGTGGGCCTATGTGATTGCGATAGAGTCTGCAAGCAAGCGCAGCGACGTCACTGTAGAATAGTCACCTAGACAGACGTCCGGCGCCCATCCCCGCTACGTAACCACTCCATCGCAGTGCAGCTGCCTCAGTATGTCGTGTACACTGAGGAGGCCAGATTTTTCCGAGATCTCAGCTTGGGGGGTCCTTCTCGGTCACTTTGCATTTAATATCCATCGGAGACAGGCAAGCTGAAAATAGGGGATTTTCTAGCTTAGCCTATTTAGGCAGTCTATGCCGCTGTCCAGACAGGAGCGTTGTCAGGACAGCATCTCTGTTCATCGTCAAGTTTGTGCTGGACTGGATGCCGTGACTAATCATGATTGAGTCTGTGGCCGGTGAAGGGCCTGGCTGGCTTTTGAAGACAGGTCTTGATGCTTCGTCTTTCATCGTAGGGTTTCCTGACAGTCTGCTCTCTAGATGCGCGAATTTGTCCACGGTTATGAGTTGCGTTCAGTTGACATTTAATCGGAGTTCATTGTAGGAAGCATATGACTCTGGTCCGTGCATGGATACTATCTTTTCCATGTTGATGGTCAGGTGGAAGTTAGAGCAGCCGGAATTAAGGTGGTATAGACGGCCATGCGTGTCCTATTCCGTTGTTGTGTTTTTCACGCATTCGTTCGCAAAGCAAGAGGCTGTGGACAATGGCAGGGCATACTCCTGACGATGTTTTCACGTGAAAGATGTTGAGCAGTTTTGTGTCCCTCATGTGGTCATTGTCAATCTCCCGCTACTCATCATGGTAGGCGACCATGAGCACAGCAGACAACATAAAACTGAAAAAGATGGTGGCGAGTAT